AGGCTCCTCGCCACTCGCCCAGAGATCGTGGCCCCTAAGGATACTGACGCTGGAGGGGCTGGACTTTCCTTGGCCTCCACCAGGCCTGAAATCGCTTTGGAAACGATCCCATTTCCGGTCTTAAGCGCGTCTAGATTCCAGGGGATTGGGTGGAGCGTGCCCCGGTTCCAAATCCCAGCGAGGGCTTCTCTCCCATCAGCCCTAGAGAAACCGGAGCGGCTGGGGACCTCCTTAAATCTGTTATGACGGGGGCAGTGATTCTTAAACCTCTCTGTGTAGGAATAATTTCTTGTGAGAACCTGTTAAAAATTCAGATTTTTGTGCTCTACCCGGACACCGGTACGCATTTGATCTCGCATGAGCTCGAGAATTCGCATTTTAATAAACTTTCCTGGGTATAATGACTCAGATCTTCCGCTTGCGGATCACAGCGGCCTCGAACTACCTTTGTATTTTCTTCGCTTAGAGGCCGGAGCTTCGACAAAGCTACCCGGTACATTACTCTGCGCTTTGCCGCCACCAGAGGGCTCTTGGATCTTTGGGTGCGCCCCAATGGCCCCGCCTCATGTCTTCCAATTAGTCGCTTGGTGGTCCCGCCCCTGTAGTCAAATTTTCCCTTCTGGGTGGTCAGCGGTGAGTTGTGACCAGGCCAGAGGCGATGGTATCTTTAGGGAGGTGTAGTCCGCACATGGGTCCTGAGCTAGGTTTTATTGTGTTTTGTTTTTCTGGGTTTTTTTTTTTTTTGGTTGTTGAACACCAAACTTTAGTGTTGTGCCAAGACAGAGAGGAAGAGCTGCCTGCGATTGTGCCTCCCAGAGGCCCTGATGGAAACCAGACGAGGGGGCAGGGGCCCCACCGTCCCGAACCCAGAGAGGCCAAGGCACTTGAAACAGCTGCGCGTGGGCTGGAGTTGGGCTTATGGACTGGGACTTGGATCCACAGGCATGCCGAGTCCTGCGGATTCTGTATACTGTGGCCTGGGATGCTGGGCATATTCACCAGGGTTTCTGGCCAAGGTGATTGGCTTTTAGCGCCTCCCTAACCCCCGCCCCAGCTCCCAGGGGAAAAAACTGTTTATTGTGAAACCAGAGCAGTCCCTGAGCTTGGAGCCAGTAGCTCCAATCTAATCCTAGCGTGGAGGCCTCTCATTCGTATTTTTGTAAGTTCTGCCGCAGGTCCCCAGAAACCCTCAGGCGGCTTCTGGAGCTTTGCCATGGGTAGGTGGTTTTGGCTTCAGATGCACACCGTGGAGCAGATACTGGAGCTGCTCCTGACCATCCTGTCCAGGAGATCCACAGCAGGGTGCAGAAGCTGCATCCCCAGAGCTTGCCAAGAAGCTGCAAGTCTTTTAAAACACACGTAGAGGGGGCTCATGAGACTGAGGGATTAGGTGAAAGAGAGGGGTAGGGGAGGTTTTATCTGTGGTTTGGTTGTCCCCAACTGGGACATCACAGTATCTGACTTCCTCACTAGGATGTTCTTGATTGCCCTGAGTAGATCTTATATGGGCAAGTGACTTTGTAGTTTAGTCTCGGATATTCATCCTGTAGGTTTTCCCTGAAGCCCACAGAGGAAACAGTGAAGAGTGCCTGTTTCCACAGGGAGGCAGCATCATTCTGCAACAGTCAGTGTCAGCTCTGGCGTTAGATCAAAGGGGTTCAGATCCTGGCTCTGCCTGCTGCCCATTAGCTGCGTAACTTGGGTAAGTTACTTTCCTGTTTGGGCCTCAGTTTCTCCCTGGGTAAAAGGGGCTTCTGGGATTGTTTTGAGGATTAAAGGGAGAGCAGCATGGACATTTTGATGATACTGCTGGTACTTGGTCAGTGCTGAAAACTATTAGCTGGCTGGGTGTGGTGGCACATGCTGGTGGTCCCAGCGACTCGGGAGGCTGAGGCAGGAGGATCACTTGAGCTCAGGACTTCTGGGCTGTAATGTGCCCAGATAACTAAGTTCAGCTTCCATATGGTCACCTCCCTGAAGCGGGGGGCCACCACATTGCCTATGGTGGGGTGAACCAGCCCAGGTCTGAAATGGAGCAGGCCAGAACTGCTCTGCTGATCAGAAGCCATATCTTGCTTGCGCTGGTGCCCTCCAGCTTGGGCAACACAGCAAGACCCTGTCTCTACAAACAAAACTGTTAGCTGTTATATTAGGGTCAGCAGTCTCGTCCCCTATGCAGAGCTGGAACTCAGTTAATAGTGAACTTGGGAAAACTGCTTGGCACTGAGGCTTTGCAGTCACTGGCCCCAGGGCCCCCAGGGTTAACTCATCTAGCAGGGAGGAAAGAGAGCATGAAAAAGGAAGGGGAAGGAGATGGGGAATGAAGTACATCCGGAGATCTGCTGGGGAAAGGTGCACACTGCAGAGGACCCTCTCCCCACACCCTCCCCACACCCTCCCCACTGTCACATACAGTCACATTTGTTCACGGACAGGGCATCAAACCCCCTCTAGTTTAAACCATCCTTTTCTCTTGCTGGGTCCAAAGGGACACACCGTGATCTTCTATTGAGGGTTTGCCCTCACATTCCTGTAATAATCTCCCTTGCTGCTGGGCCCTGTTGTGATGACAAGTGACAGCAGTTTGGCTTCTGGGCCACAAACTAGGGGCTGGGGACAGAAGGGCTTTTGGAGGAGCCTTTGCCTCAAGACACACTGTGAAAGTCACTGAGCTTTAAGCGGGAGCCAAGGGACACTGAGGGAACCCTGGATCTAGGCTGCATGAGACTCAGGCCTCAGCTCCCAAGGAGACCCCCAGCCATACAGGAGACAGAAGAGGACATTATCTGGGCAGCTGGGAGGAAGAAGGGCTTTGGAATGGCCTCACCACCACCAGCGCGATGGGGCATAGCTGCTAACGAGAGAGAGCTTCTGAAGTCAGGGTTCTGAATGTGGAGTGAAAGAC